GCTACGTCCACTAATACATTAAATCCAATTATAAGAGCCCTGCTCTAACGTACATATCTATCTTATCTTCGTGCGATAAGTGATTATCTATCTATCTATGCTCATCAGTGTAATATAAGTGTTGGAAATATATAATTTATAATTCTGTGAATCACAGTGTTATACAAACTCAATCACCCCTATTATTTCAACGGAAATCAGGAGATCGATCAAGTCGTGGTGTCGATTGTTATAATCGTAACGGGAATTTACGACTCCCGTTGACGTCTCTCCTAGCGACTACGTCTCCCCGCGATTGGTCGAAAAAACAGATACCAACGAACAAAAATGAAATAAAGCGTCAATTTAGACTGATTTTATGGATGGGATTCACAAAACTCTCATAACGTAAAAATTATGGACACACTTATAGTTCCCATGTCTGTACGCGAAAACCTCTGGCTAAACAAAATATAGCATCCTCAAATATCGTGATGGATTTATGTAAGGGTGTGTTTCATAAAGGCTATACCATATGTACTGATAAGTGATACAGTAGTGTGGATTTCGCGAATAAGCTAATAAAGAAAAATATGCATTTGATTGGTACACTACGAATAAATCGTAAAAAAACCTAAATGAAATGACAACTAAATTGAAACGCGGAGAAGTTGTTGCGAAAGAAAATAGTAGTGAAATTATAATTTTGAAATGGAAAAATAAAAGAAATGTTTTGGTCCTTTCTAAGAAAAATTCTAGCGAAATGGTAAATATAAAAACAAAAAGATGGTTTTGTTGCAAACCAAAAATGGTCGTTGAATACAATATAGGAAAAACCGCCATTGATCTTTCTGATAAAAGAAGTGCATATTGCTGTCCATTGAGAAAGACAATAAGATGGTACAGACAATTAGTTTTCGAGCTCTTTTTTAATGCAGCTGTTGTGAATGCCTTGTTTATGTTCCAAGATGTGAAAAGGAGAAAAATGCCAATATGACAAACAATTGGCAGAGATGCGTTCACGTGCCGTTCAGATGAAAACATACTAATCCGACTGTTTAAGCGTCGCATTTGTTTTTCTAATGGCCTCGAGCAGTTGACCGCATATTGTCCGACTTCGGCAAATTTCAACAGTGCGCGATCGAATATAAATACAATACAAAACCATCTTTCGATACAAAAACAATCGACAGCGAGCTCCGATTGTACGCGCAGAAACCTTTATTAACTTTGAACGACTTGTTGTAAACAGTCCAAAATTAATGAATTTATGTGATCGTTATTGTTTTGGGTGTATTCACCCAAATATCTTTTTAACAAATTGGTTAAAGTCAGGTCTTCATATATTGGCCGAATAATTTTTGGAACCTTTTGGTTCAAAGATAGTGGTTTGTGTTTATAACTCACAAGTCTGTTTTTCGCCTTTACATGTTGCCAAGTACATCATTTAGCAGACCGATAGTCAGGCTACAAATCTTCAGACATCATTGCTTATGTACTTTATTAAATCAGGACTCGTCCTAATAGCCAAGCCGTAATAACTTGTCAGCTTTTCTATCACTTTGCTCGTCAATTTTTCAATTTTTTTATCTACATTTTTTTGTTTTTTTTTTTTTGGCATAATTAAGCCGCGTATACATTCATTTTTATATGTGTGCAACGCATTCTTTTTTTAGTATAGTTGTCTTATTTCCATACGGATTTCCTTCTAAAAGCTGCTTGAATGTTTTTGAATCTCCGTCTCCGATGTAATATTTCAATCTAAATCTGCATTCGGATCGCAGAAACATTTCCTTCACAGCATCAACTTCCAGGTTGCCTGCACTAACTTGATGACTTATTGTACACTGTTCTTTACGTGTTCTTTAACTAGTTTCTATACTCTGTGGTACCTACTTTGTACTTTCAAACGTTGCATCCCTGTAAGGTATTTGATTTTATTACAGTATCAAGCACTTTAATACTACATGCCGAAGAATGAAGGAAATTCTCTTTTTTTCATGTTCCATCGCCAGAAATAGTTACCTCTAACGGTGGCCTACCTCATTTGACGTTTTGTCATTTCTCACTTCCAATGGATTTTTCTGTTATTTTTCCTAAACTGTTACAAATACAGAGTGTATCTTTTTATCCCTTATCTTATCTATTGACGCTGATTCCTAATAATCTCATTTCAAACACTATTCAACGATTTATCGCATAAGATTTGTCAATTTTCGACATGAATCAATTTATTTTGCTCTACAGGAACATCGCACACTAATCTAGAAACTGAGACCGAGAGTACTTTTCTGGGAAAAAGTTCACTTTCTTCGTACACTGTTTATATACAACAAGCGTACTTGCAGTTCGCTAATTTTACCGAATCAGTAACAAACGAAAGCATCGTTTACACAATTTTTATCTTCACTGAAAATCTAGCTCTCATACGTATGTTTACTTCCTTTGTTTGTTCGTTTATTCTGCTATTTGCAGTCAAACAAGATTAATGCATATACATTTTTTATTACGTTTTGAGAATATAGTCTTATAAAAACGATCAACAAAAGATATTGGATATATCACATTGTAAAAAAACAGATATCAACTGAGCTCAAGAATGAAAGAACGAAATAGGATATTTTAATTATTTTCATATATCAGTATCTACTTTTAATGACCCGTTAAAAAGGGTGTAATGGGATTTAGCTAAACAAAATACAACTATCAAAATCTTTTTCCAATGATATATTCTTTTAATGCATCTCTGCCGCCATGTTGCTTTTCACAAATTTTTATCTTCATAAGCATTTATTTTTTTATCATATATGTAGTATTATTGACGAAAGGCCTAAGAGATATCGGGCGAACCATAATGTCGCCACAATTTCTTGAGAAAACCTAAATGCAGACAGGCCCATCCATGTATCGCCGGTCTTTCAATCAAATAGTTACGCGGAAAAGGCCTGCGTAACCCTGGCAACGAGCGGTTGCGGAACACGTGCGTGGTGAAGCTAAGAGAAAAGACAAAGGGATGCTAAGAGAGAGAGAGAGAGAGAGAGAGAGAGAGAGAGAGAGAGAGAGAGAGAGAGAGAGAGAGAGAGAGGAATTAACAGTCAGTGTTAGTTGAGAAGTCGCGGAGTGCGAATTGCGTTGTCGAGTGAGTGTGGTCTGCATGAGAGAGAGCGTTGGAACCGTGGTGACGAGAGTTGTAAATTAACTATTTAGTTGTCTTAATTATAGTACGTTATTGTATATAGTTCACGCTAAATAACCATCATTTCCTGTTTAACCAATATATGTTTAGTTCATGTTTAAATAAATTAATAAATAAAGATCCTACATATATGTCGGGTTGGGATTAGGGTTATGGGTGTTTGATGAATCTTCACTGGAATTAGCGTTTATCGGTGCGGTACAACAAAGGAAAAGTTTATTAACACAAGTAGAGATATTACAGTATTAGCAATTAACCGCGATGATTAGGCACTCGCGACACTAATGACAATGGCCTCAGGTTCGATAACGAATCCGCGGTCAACGGGATAGCGAATTTACTTCTTCGTCAAAGTCTAAGTTGGACTCTATGTTAAAACGTGAAGTAATCACTGCTCGTAAAAACGTTACTTAAATCGTTGATGAGATCGTACGAGAGAGTGTCTCCATCACGGTGACGCTGTAGAAGAAAACTATGATGGAGTGTGTCGAAGGGCACGAGATCATCGGATTCGTAGAGAAAAGCCTTATAAAATAATATATAAAACTTAGAAGTAGTTGTTTATGATTTAATCCGATTATGTGTGCCCGAGAATTATGACCATAGGCTTGGGCTCGAAGTGACACAGCGGGTCGTTGAACGGTCACGGGATGGACGTTTTTACCTAACAGAGGTATGGAGTAATTGTATAGTTCTCCTTAAACATATAGTTGACAGCACAGAGTACGAGGTACGGAGAAGAATATATAAGTGCAGTTTCACTTGGACTTTGGAAGAAAGCATATTTAGTACTCCGTTGATCGTGGATTCGTTATCGAACCCAAGATCATTGCCATTAGCATCTCGAATATATAATTGCCACGACTACTTGTCAAATTCTATAATAATCATATTTGTACTAGTAAATATCTTCTCTATTGCATAACAACAATGTCTAATCCAAATGAAGATTCGTTACACGCCTAACCCTAATAAGAACTCGACATATATATAGCAAACCTTGTTTTACTAACACGATTAAAAATTCTGTATTTATTTATGTCATTTCCACGGTTCATGTGCAGTCTGCTCTATGACTCTTCTAGAAATACGATAAAAAAAGCGTATCGCCTAAGCTAATTAGCTTAATATGCAATAATTAACAGCATTGTCAATACTGTTGAGGTTTTTCTCGATAGAATAGGGGGGAACGCGTGGATGAATGTGTAATAGAAATATATTTAAGTAAGTATAAGTACAGTGTATGCTAATACAGATCCGAACGCTGGCAGCGTTACATTACAATAGAACTCCGAAGCCATGGGCCTGTCACGTAAACTTAAGGGTTGGTTGATGAAATAATAGTCGTAACACAACTATTTATTTATACTATTTATTATGAATTCAGCAATCACAATGTAATGCACACTGAATTAACATAAATCACAATTCACTCCAACCACGTTGTGTAAAACTTAGTTACAATGATACATTAAGTACGCGACTGTTATAAGGGTAGAGACCGGTAAAGGATATGTTGACTATTCTAAGGATACAGAATAAGTGAGTTTTACTGACGATACCGTGTCTGAGGAAGGCTAGGGGTGGGTGTGTCTAAGGACACGAGACTATCGGATTTGTTGATGACAATGTTGGTTAAGCAAGCGAGGGCAGTAGACACCGTCTCCGATTGGATAATAAGACGGTTGGTGGACCAGGAAGGGTTTTAGTCGCCCTCGCAAGAAAGTTGCTAACGGAACATACCAGATGTGAAGAAAACCAACTTTCTAGGCTAACACGTGGTAGACAATAAACGTAAAGGGAAATCCAAGACAAGAAATACTCGCTTGGTCCGAAGGACCTTAACTATGAAAATTCCAAGACCCCTGGTAGGTACTTAAGACTATTGAGGGTACGCGCCAAGGATGTGTAGACATGTGGGTGCCATTCTGTCCGCGGTATGTGGCCTGGTGTCTGATGCGAATTGACGTTACAAACCTGTGGGTATTTATATAATTACGAAAGTTGGCCCGTCTATACCCCGCTCCACCATCTATACGTAGCATGTTCCTAGAAAGGCTATGATTTTGAGCTAAAGAATACTCAATGGCTTCAAGGATTAAGAAAACTAAATACTAGAGAAGATGTAGAGTTTTCCTAGAAGTGAGACTCACGTCAACAAATACGAATTTCTTTATCTTCCATAAGTTTCATGTTTATGGCGGATGCACCGACAAAAATTTTATCTGTTTCTATAGCATACTCATTCCTTCGAAATTTACAAATCTAAACTTGCTACTTTTTTCTATTTTTCTATTTTTTCTATTCTATTTTTTCTTTTTTTTTTTTGAATTAATGGAATCGTAACTCTCATCTTAACCAACCACTTTCACTCTTTGATATTTTGAACCTGCTCTACTTTCGACTCGTAATCAACTATTTACATATTTCATACATTTTCATTATAGCGAACACATAAATTATAGCAAAAATTTAAAAATTTAAAAAGAAAAAAAATTTTTATTCCATATTTTCGACTTCTCTTTTCGCGTAGAATCACCCCCTTTCCGCTTGTACCACCAATTACCAAACATCCTGTATACGCACCGAGCGTAATCATCCAGTCTACAAGTTGTTGGGGTTGTTAAGGTATAAAGAGGATTGGGAAAAACAAATAGTTTAAAATTTATTTACAAATTATTCAGTTCTACGTGTACGTTACTCTCTGAAGGACTCGATAACCTACTCGCTTAGTTGTTTGTTTTCTTCTGATTACTTCTAATCACTTCTAACGACTTTTAATAACTTCTAACCGCTTTTAGTCGCTTTTGTCTCAACTGAGACCTGGACGTCCTTCAACGCTCACATACACTTTCACACATACAATATAAATGTACCATCTATTTAAGGGGGGGGTAAGGTTTAAAAATTTTTTTTTGCATTTTTTATTTTTTTAATTGAATGCATAACATCTTAAGAATATTGTGTCAAAATTTCAAGTCGATTGGTGCAAAATTGACGAAGTTAAGAGTATTTTTATACATGTCGGATGATATTACCTACTCGACCCGAGCGTGCTATTGTTACTTCGCAGACATTTTTTTCTCTATATTGTATAATAGCTTTGTAGAAGCTATTATATCGTAGAATAGCTTTATATCGAATAGCTTATATCGCTAATATATCGTAGAATAGCTTTGATTGGAGATCGACTGAAATTAGAAAACACCGTGTACGTCGTCTTTTTGTGGTTTGTTTACATCCAAGAGCGCCTAGTAACAGTGACGCGAGAAAAGATAAGCAGCGTCAGAACAAAAGTACGGTTTCATATTTCAAGGAGTGGCAATCGAGAGGCCAGAGTATGTGAGCCGAAAAGTGTGTGTGTGAGAGGACGAGAGCGAGCACGACCGAGCAGGAGTGCATTTGTGTGTGTGTGTGAGGACGAGAGCAAGAGCGAGCACGACCGAGCAGGAATGCATTGGCGAGGGTCAGAGTTGATCGAGACGTCGAAGCATAGAGTCGTTAGAATTGAGTTGCGAGTGCTGTCGAGTGTCAGAGTTGCTAGTGAGAGAGAGAGAGAGAGAGAGAGAGAGAGAGAGAGAGTTACCAAATAGTGGTCAAGTTATTTGATGTAAATACGAGCGTTGCATTTAGTATTCCTGTTAATCAAACATCGTTTCTCTGTCTAACTAATATCTGTATTTTCAATCCATTATTAATAAATTATAATTAATCGGACAAAATTACACCTTTAATATATTCCGATATTGCACAATCGTATTTGCACTAGTCAATGTCTTCTCTATTGCATAACGACAACGTGTAACCCAAACGAAGATTCGTTTCAAGCCCCTAACCCTAATTCTAATGTAAACCCGACATATATATGTCGGGTTATCATTAGAATTTAAGGCGCGTAACGATTCTTCGTTTGAATTAGCCCTTGTTTTTCGACGCTAGTGAAGAGGTAAACCGATAAAATTCGCTTATGAACGTTTTATACCAGATTTTTTAGTGTTCAAAACTTTAAAGCGTTTTCCCCACAACTCACGTTTTCAAAGTCGGTGCCCCCAATTACTTCAAAACTACTACACCGATCCTTTTGAAATTTTGAAAACTACTTCTGTACATAATTTGCGACGTAACGCTGTGGAGTTTTTTCAAATTTGTTCATTATTTTTATTTTAAAATAACAAATTAGCCGAAAATTTTCGCATAAAATCGCGTTTTTCCCTTCAAAGTGTTCCAAAAAAGTGAAAAATTGAAATTTCGAAAAAATCTTCGCAGCAATACCTGGGGAAAGCTGTTACCTAACGAATGAACTTTAATTTTTTGATTTTAGTGATCCAGCTCTACGATCTGAGGGGCACCGCAATTATATTTTTTTCCGAGACACGTCTGAATAATTGCTGCCATTGCCGTATTTTTTAATATTTCTCCGTGAAAATTTTATACAATATTCTTCGAATGTCATACTTTAATGTACTATTGGTTTTAAAAAAGAAATTTTAACTGTATCGTCAGAAAAAATTCACAAAAACATGCCTTTTTTTGTACGAATTAACCTTACCCCGCCCTTAATGAATGAAGATATAAAACATTGAGTGCAAATATGGTCAATGAACTTTTAAAATGTGCATTTATGTGCATTATATGAAAGTATATTTGATAGAATTTAATCAAATTACTGCATTTCATATGAAATTCATAAAAAAGAATAGATAGAGGTATCGAAAATATATGTTATAATCCATTCAATTACCTCTATTATCTTAAACGAAATAGGGGATCGATCAGCTTCGTGGCGTCGATTGTATAATCGGGAATTTACGATTCCCGTAGACGCGATTCCTCGAGATCGCGTTTCTCCGCGAGCGATCGGAAACAGTCTATGACCAACATTTTTGCACAAATAGTGGACAAGATTTTTTGTCACAGATTTTATTTGATTTACAGCTTCAAGAGATATTATATTCATATCAATTAAGGGATTGTGTTTTGTGAAGTTCACAAATATCATGCACGATCTATACATTTGCATTCTGTATACAATTGTAACAGAGGTCGACCCATTATACGCCAATGAAATTCGACATACTTTACAAATTATATTTCTTTTATTCTCGGGAAGAGTAATGTAATGTCATTCAACTTTTATGGTGTGCCATAATTCTAAAAAAAATTGCTTATATATAAAAAGTAATTAATTGTTGATAAAACTGTAGAACCATTTCATCCTCTCCAATTTCGACAATTTCTTTATATCTTATAGAAATCAGCAGTATAAACAACATTTTTTTATACACGTAACCGTTGGATTTGCCTAGTTTTCAACTATTTCTGCGAAAATTTCCAGGTACCGCTACAGTGTATTTCTGTCTATAATTGTCCGTTTGTGACAGTGTATGCGTCATAATTAATTGCCTGCCACTGATTGCTTATCTTATGTATATAAACGACGGACGAGCAAGTTTAAATAACCTGTGCTTAACGCCAATAGGCAAAACTGTAAAAAAACGTCTATCGTAACCTATAATTCAACAAAGGGGAATGTCATCAGTATATTGAGTCTAGGTTCGGGTTAGATTTCTCAATCGCTTGGGTGAAGTAATAACGATTATCTTATTTTGTAAAATAGTATCTATTATTCATTCGCTTCTCAGTTTCGTAAATAATTTGTTATTATTTCACGCACATTTTGTCAAGAAGCGGACGGATTAAAATAACTGATCCAAACCCAATACATTGATGACAACTATTTTTCAGTAAAATGTAATAGACATATCTTGTAGCCTCACAATAAGTGGTGCACGGAGTTTCTAAGTTCACTTAATCCACGTTTATAAACAGAAGATTAGCAACCGACGGCTGGCAATCAAACTAACGCATACGCTGCCATAAACGCGCAAACTATATGCGGAAATACACTGTAGCGGTACCTGTAGCTTTTTGCGAGTATCTTAAAAACTAAGCGAATCCAGCGGTTATCTGTTTATGAAAAAGTTGTTCAAAATGTTGAGCTTTACATATTCAAATATTATCGAAATCGGGAAGGACAGAACGGTCCTAAAAGTTCATCTAATTGTTTAATAAGTAAAAGTATTAGCAATTATTGATGTAACTAATGGCTCCTATTATGTTTATACTTTAATATCTAACAATTACGTGTTCCACAATTTTTAAATAAATTAAATGTTTTGGAATAAAATTAATTGTGCATACACATCTAAAAATTTATGGATATACCATGAATATATCGATATTATAAAAATATAAAATAATGCGTCATCGAATATAACTGAACTTTTTTTCTTCTTCACAGCTTTCCTTTATTTACTTTGATTTTTCTATTAATAGTAATAATATTGTAGTATCGTGAGAAAATTATTTAAGAAAGACCCAATGTACTACAGTATAGATAGAAAGTGGAAGTGGTCATGAACTTGGAATCCACGCTCATGAGAACATTCAGAATGGCAACAGTGTAACATGTACGCTACCACTACCACCAAATATTGCAAACCATCTATAAGCTGCCGAATATTAATGTTAAATCTGTCCTTTGGATTGTTTTCGGACTCTGACTTCTTATCGTTCTAACATAAACAAGTTCCGTCGTTTGCTAAATAGTCCAAACGGACCAAAGCACTGCAGTATAAAAATTAAATTAATTTACCTTTTTTTAAAACTGATCTGTCTGAATATGAATTCTGTATCTTGCTGTATTTCGATTCCTTTTCTCGTTTCTTATTTTTAACATTCGATGTATTTACAGTGGAACGATCAGATCAAATTAGATAATAGCACTCAATTTTTGGAAAGTGACCATTAACTAATTTAGAAGAAAATGTTGAATAAATAGAATGAATAAATGAATAAATGAACGAAATAGAAAAAAGGTCTTAATATTTGTAAGAATGTGAACGATTTTATTGTAATTCGCTAATAACTCTGGCATTTGAATGCAATTTTAAATAAAATAACATTACATTGCAATTACACTTCGGGTAAGTATAATATAAAATACCAATTATAAAGAAATATCGAGCGACATCAATTTTCTGTTCCTGAGTCAAGCACGGATGAAAGAAAGAGGTAGGTAGAGGACACGAGCAACAGGAAAACTCGTTGTACGTGTGGTAGCTCTAACTAATAATATTATAAAATTGAAAATATTCTCTTCTGTTTGTTGAGGATCTTCTTATTAGTAGTGCTCTATTATGGTCGACTTTTTAATATTTTTTGGGAAAAAGCGAAATAATATCTAATTCTTAAACCTGATACTCGTTTTTTATAACAGTTTGCCATTGAAAGGAAAACAAACATATTGCATTTCTTTTGCTATAATAAAAAAAGTAACTTTACACATTTTTCATGTAATATTGACAAAAATATTTATCTGTTACTTACCTTTGTATTGTATTATATAATTTTCATTATTATTTATAAAGTTGTTGGGCGAGATATGCTACAATTATTCCATCATTCGTAATCTGTAATTGTTTCATGCATGTAGTTTATTTCGTTTAAAGTTAAGCAAAGTTATTTTACAGCTTTATCAATTTACTACTGATGAACTTACAATCGTCATGTTGAATATTAGGTATCGTAAACGTAGTCGTTTACTTTCACAATGAACGACCACTAATGAGGATAATTGTCACAGAATATCAGTCAATTGTTTGGAAACTGAAATATCTCTCTGACAAACAAATGTAATGACCGGCTCCATACAGGACCCGAGATTGGATACCCCCTCGTACAGTTGGCGCATTGCACTCCAACCCCGTCAATTTTCGGTAGCATGTCGCATAAAACATTGGCATAAAACGATATCTGAGATCCCATCTCGATAGCCTCCCCAGCTATATTTATGCACAGGCCAGGCGGAAGAGTCCCCTTCCAACGCTTATCGTAAAACCAAATGGCCTCAGACTTGGCGGGGGAGACACTGAAATCCAGCCCGTGCATTGCCCGTACTGTATAGGCCACAGTTAGCTCGTCGAAACGCCAAAACACCGTAACGGTAACAGAAGCAAATTGCGGTCTCTCTCCTTCAACCACTATCTGTTTCCGTCCAGTAAACGCCCCGTTCCCCGAGTACCACAACCATCCCCTGCGGACCTTGTTTCAGACCTGGATACAGCTTCCACCTCCATAAATATATAGAGGTGGTCCGAGAGGTATCCTCTGCTACTCTTCAGCCTAAGACCCGTCGGAACCCGTTAGGGGTATCTTATGTGATGTCCTCAGCAAAACACTCTCTCCGTTTCACACATGTGCTGATTGAGCCCCTGTTTACCAGCAGGAGTCTGCGGCACTGTGCCCAGTCCGACAGCATTCGGCCGATAACGTGTGTGCGGGGATTCCCACTATGTAAAGGATGGGCATTTAAATCCTCCAAGACGAGTACCTGGAGGGGAAGGCATCGCCTCACCCAATTGCTAATCCCGTCTAAGAACTCCTCGAACGTAGCCATGAAACTGTTGGGTGAGACGTGCCATGATCAAGTGGGACACGCGATTGGAAAGGAATGGGATCGGAATAAAGGAATAAGACAGGAGGAGCACCGATCACTGCCCCTAGCAAAGATATATCCTAGCAAGCAGGAGCTGACGCGAGTCCGGCAGGTTATTAACCCGCGAAGACCGCCGGTCGGAAAACCCGCGCCGTGTAGGTGTTTAGCCCACGTCATCACCCCATTTGCCTACTTGGAAAGGTGGGTTTTG